GAATCTCTTCAACTTGATACAAGTATTCAAAAGCCTGTCATAGCACTGATGCCAGGATTGAACTTTTTGGTTCAGATGGCTTCTCTCAGTCAGTGACTTAGAGAATAAATCTACATAAATGTGTAATTAATAACAAACCACCAAGAGCAGCAGGGAAAAACAACTTTCACTCATTGTTCTATGGAATATCCTTGGTATGAATCTGAAATGTAGCCCAGGGCATATGTCCTGAATTGAGTCTTAAATCAGTGTCTAATGACAGTGGGAACATTTAAGCAAAATTTTTCCAAGTAAATGACACAGTACGGCAGGCCAAGGATTATTCCAGAGTACTGAGCTCCTGAAGAGAAAGAAATAACAAATTATAAGTAAGGACAGAGGACATTGTAACTGATAGTTGCATGTGAACAATGGGGCTTCAGTTGGGAAAATTCAGTGTTCAAGTATGAAAAAGGTAAGAAACTGTGCTAGGTATGATGTTGCACATCTGTATTTCCAGCACGAGGAAGGCAGAGGCAGGAGGATCACGAGTTCAAGGCCAACTTGAGCTATATAGCAAGCATCCTGTCTCAAAGGACCAAGGGCTAAGAAAGTAGCTCAGTGGTACAGCACTCGCCTAGCATGTGCAAGATCTTAGATTAGAGCCCCAGTGCTGGGGGAAAATAAAATAAGAAATCTAAAAGCTAAGGAAATGGAGTGAGGAGTTGGAGAAAGAGGGGCCTTTAGGAGATAAGTATGCAGAAAGAGAGCCTGAAAATGAGGAAATAGCCTCATGCAGACTTTGGCCCAACTCTGTCTACCAGTATTTCATAAGTAATGCTTATCTTAGTAGACTATATATTTTATTTTAAACTTTAAATTCCATTGATGCTGGCAATAGCAACCCCAATCTCCTATATCCTCAATATTCAGAAAAAAGCAGGAACTGCTTGTCAGAAATTAAACAGGATTATTTGAATGTATGTGTGTGGATTTTTTTTTCCTTAGGAAATTTGAATTCAGGGGAATGAAAATAGATGTTAATAAAAATGTGGTTATCTCAGCTACAGTTAAGAAAATTATCAAATGTAAATTATCCCATTTTTCTGAGTCTTATAAGATATGTGATATTTAAGCACACTGAAGTTTTAAAGTTTGCTTATATTGTAGAAAGGTATTTTTTGGCTCTTTAAAGGTTATTTTCCTACATTAAGAAAAGTTTTCTTATATTAAAAACTTTTGTGACTCAGGTTTTGTGTCTATATATATAGACACACAGGTTTTTTTTTTTTCCATTGCTCAATTGTTTTGCACAGCTAAAGTGATGAGGTTAAATAATGCCCAGGTAAGCAGGCCAACTGGCCTTTATGAAAGCTAGATTAAGGAAAGCATTTGACAAATGGACAAAAGAAATCACATTGTATTTCTTTGTACCCATCCATCCCTCTTATATACTTTCCCAGCCCTCTTCTCTCATTTAGTCAGGAAATTGTGGGTGATTTCTGAAGTTTATAAGAAAAACAAGATGAAACTCTCAGGAAGACAGAATATAATGCAGTTCCCATATTCTCCAGAAATGTAATTTATTTTCAGAATGTATTGCTGAAATAAATTTTATTTTCAATACTTGTAGTCTTTCCACTCAGAGGACTCTTATTGGTCTTGAATGTGGGAAAGGCATCTGTTTAGATCAGAAGGGAATGTTGTGTGTTAAGTTTTACACTTAGGAAATTACATTTTAGCTTAGACGGCACCTAATGTCAATGGAATGCAATAAATGTTTAATACTTCCGCTACATTTTCCTCCTTGAAAATGCAAGCCTTACTATTTTCTGTTTGGAATAAAGAGAAAACAATCAAGTTTCTCTTTGTACTGTGTATAGAAGACTCTAAAGGAAACTTAAGGGATAATGACAGTGTCTACATATGAAGGAGGAATTTTTTCCAAGCTGGAAAATCAGAGGTAAATCTACTAAATTCCATTTGTCAACTTAAAAGACCATCACAAATGACCTCATGAAAGTGAGGCTATTGTAAGGTTATTGTAGTTTATTATAAGTACTGTAGTTTTAGTTTTCCCACTTTACAACCACCCAAAGGCACCCTCCACTCAGCTGTATATAAGTAAACCATAATATGAACTGTGGCTTCACTCTCGTCAGATGAGAAATATTAAACTAACACAAGTGATTCTAAAGGAACACAGTGCTAGTTTCACTGGTTTAAGAATTATCTTGCTAGGTTTTCAATTGATTTAAGAATTATCTTTAAAAATTACTGTGTATTAAGTTTTTACCTTTTTTAAAGTATTCATGAGTATTACTTTTTCATTTTTCTAAACTACTTGATAATTGATTACTTTTGCCCTCAGTAATTTGTGGAAAATAATTATTTTATTATCTCATAAAGCAGAGTTCTAATTTTCTTATATGCCAAACACACAGGGTTTTCATTTGAGGTCATATAATTCAGTTAGTGAAAAATTTCATTCCCCTATAAGCTAAAAAAAATTCCTAAGCAGTGATGTAACTTTGAATCATTATTTTAGTAAAATGAAGACAGTCTCTAGACTCATATTTTTTTTTATGACATCTAACTTCACTACCATATGTGCAGCACAACAGTGACATCTTAAGGCCAAGAACCACAGTCAGAAACAGAAGTTGAATTGGAATCTGATTTCAAAGAAATTCCATTACATTATCAAGTACTTTTCAATTTAAAAATATGGGACTGGTAATGTGCTTCTTTCTTTATGACCTCTTTTTCAGTCTTTGTGAACATTTTAATGTGCATTCATAAACACTTGACATTTTACATAGACATACTGTATATTAATGCATGCATTTCACTGCATAGTTTACTGATACTCCCCTTGTAAAGCTTTTATGGAAAAACAAGAAGCCACAACAGTATAGCAAAAGAGGCTTAATCTTTATAAATTGGGGCCTTTTCTGTCTCTTTGCTAGCTTAGGTGGCTATATACAAATTTGGGTGGGAGGGGGCAGAAACACCTCTTTAACATTTAAGATTTTCTACTTTGGGTGTACTCTAGCCAATTCAAAATAAAATGCTTACTTTAATAAAGTTTTACCATTTTATAAAAAAATTAAATCATGACATGTTTAACTGAAATGGCTGTATTGTAATTAATATTTTGAAATGTGATTTTGAGCTTAAAATTATATATAAAAATTGTCATTTTTGTATGTGTTAAAAAAGGCTACTGTATCATGATTAATAGTACTTTTTAGTTGAACTACATATTAATGTAAATAAAACTGAATGAAGACATATTTACTACTTTAACATAGATCGTGAATGTACTTAATGGTTTTTTTTTGCAGTATGAGACCATAACCACCTTGAAAGCTGCTTCATTTATGTGCAAAGAAGTCCTATGAATCTATATTTTACATTACTGAATCAGTGAAATTAATTACTTTGTCAATTTGCAAATGCAAGCTGTATTCTCCAGTTTTATTTTAGGTATTGACACTAATGGATAAAGGTGTACAATGTGATTAGGATGAATCTGAAGATGCTTTCTGTACAGACACAAAATACAGGGACTAAAATAATGCTGTGCAGTGTATAGCAAAGCCATTTTTCGGCTTTGGTGTACTCAACTTTTTCAGTATTTAAAAAAGTGTTTTGAATAACATAAAAGTCTCTTTATTGTATAAATAATAAAATGTCACCTTATTGTAAAGTGTCTTTTGTTTACTATCAAAGCAGACTTCTTAGCAACAGAGTTGTAACATAAAAGGTCAGGTTTCTTTTAAAACAAAAACAAACATTATAATCAATATTTGAAAAATGTAATTTTATTATGAACATGTAGTTTTAAATTTTAGCAATAATTTTTCATAATATAAGCATGCTTCATTCAAAAGTTATCTATCTACATATCTATTTATCGATATACATGCTAATGAACTGGCTACTTAATAGAATCATATGGTAAATGTTATAGTGACTGATCAACCTATTTTGATTCCCTTCTAGAAAATTACTGCATGAATGCAAGTTGAGTCTTGATAATTGCAAGCAAATTTCAAAATAACGTGCTGGAAATAAAAAAGATGCATAAAGCTAATAAAAACATACTTACAATATATTAAATATACAAAAATATGCCCGCCTGATAAGTATTCAAACAAAGTACATTAAGATTTCCATATGATAGATGTTACTCAATTTTTTTCCTGTTGATGTTATCGATTGAATTAATAAGATACAGTCTTCAAAAAAATCTTTTTTTCATACCAGCCAGAAGTATTTAAATGGTCACATTCTTCCTGTGGGGAAATTATGCAGCATCAATCTCTTTACTTCTCCTGAATCTAAAAGTACTAGATAATAACAATACTAAAACTACTACTATTAAACTATAACTATTACTAATATTTTTTTAAAAACTGTCAAGTTTTCAAGTCAAAACAGTGAGAGCAGCTACAGTAACACTTTCATTGTTTTCTCCAATCTTGAGTAGCATTTCTGTGAAATAAGCAACCCTAATGATTTCATAAAAGTGGGGCAATTGTTAGGAAAAAAAATTTCAACAAGATTAAAACAAAAACAAGACAGTGAGTGTTAATTTAAAATTTGTACTGAGAGCCAGACACACACCTGTAATCCCATCACTTAGGAGGCTGAAGCAGGAGATAGCACATTTGTGGCCAGCCTGTGCCACACTGAGCAGTCCTGGGTCAGCACAGGCCACACAGACTCTATTTCAAAAAAGCCCTCACAAATTTGTACTGGGCCCAACCACATCACAAAAGTACTGTCATTGGCAATGAAAAGTCTTATTTTTTTTCAATGCCAAAGAATAATAAAAAGATAGAAATTGGTTATTCGTATTCAAGTCACATTATATAGAATATAAAAAGAAATAAGAGGAAAAAACCCAATCTATAAAAATGATTTGTTACTATAAAAACACTGAATCACATTAAATAAAAATTCACTTCCGCAGAAGTGCTTGGAAGGTTAAAAAGGAATGAATTTGAGCAGGATAATGTGGAAAATACTCAGAACATGTATGAAAACTGCCTGGCTTTCAGTGGTTAACACCACTATAAATATGTAAAACACTTTAGAAAAATGTTAGTTGTTAATGAAAACACTTACTGGCAGTGAGTACAGCCCAGGCCAGCCATACCAACAGCAATGTGATTACTGGGAAAACTATAAGATCAATTACAGCAATCACCTTTAGGGTAACAAAGAAAATGTTATATTATCCTAAAAATTAACATAACCAGAATTAGAAAACAATTCTGATTTATGTAGGAATTCGGTCTCTTAAATATTCCAGTATTGCAGCTGTTCCTTTCATTAATATGGCTGCCCGAGGAACACGGAATGGATTTCCATCTAGCAGTAATGTTCTAAAGAAAAGAGAGAAATTGGGAACTTAAAACATTTTCTATGAAAATGATTACTTGCAACTTTATAAATAAAATTCGTAATTTTTCCTATTTGTTTTCAAATCTGAGCATTTAAACATTTGGAATTACCATTACAATATAACAAAAACAACATTAATTGAATAATTATTACATGGAAGGTATGATGTAAGTACCATAACATTCTTATCTTACAGATGAAGAAACAAATTCAGGGAGAAAGGACAAACTTCTCTAACATCAAAGAGCTACCAAATGGTGGAGCTATGATTTCAACCACCATTTTAATCTAGCCTCTTCCCAATCTTATAGTGACCATATGAAACGATCAAATTAGATTTAGACAAGTAAATGAACAAAGTGACAAGTATCCATGCCAAGAATTTAATGTATCACTACCACCACGCCCCAAAAACAACACGTCTGCACTCTCCTTCCCTTGACCAGACACACACATATGCTAGTCTATTTACAAGTTTGGAAATAAGGTTCAATTTAAGATTTAAAAGTTTATACTTTTGTTTTTTATAAATTAATGAAATATCCTTAATTAGAAGAGACTTTTAAATTAATTTTAAATAGCTTAAGTGTATATATAAATAAAAGTCAAAGGCTGCACACTCTAATAGATGATCTAAAGTTATATCTCCAGGTGGTCATAGAAGCAAATGCCTGTGGTCCCAGCTACTCAGGTGGCTGAAGTAGGAGGAATACAAGTTGGAGGACAGCCTGGGCTACATATTGAGTCCCTGTCTCAAAATAAAATTTTTAAAAAGGGTTGGTAATGTAGCTCAGTAATAGAGTCCTAGCATGACTGAGGGCCTGGGTTCAATCCATGGTACCACAAAAATAAATAAATAGATGGATAGATAAATACATAAATATATACATACACCCACACACAAACATATATACATACATAAGTAAAATCTCCAATTATTTCTCTTTCTTTGGCCATACTGGTGTTTGAACTCAGGACCTCACACTTGTTGGGCAGGTGCTCTACCACTTGAACTATGCTTCTAGCCCATCTCCAAATTGTTCTATATTTTTTGGGAGTTCTTTTAAGAACTTACCTTGTTAACTTCGAGACAAAGGAGTTAATTACAGTTGGACCTCATTATTCATGGATTCCGCATTTGCAAATTTGCCTACTCACTAAAGTTTATAACCTCAAAATCAGTTATGTGTGGCACTTCCAAGGGTCATTCATGGACATGCATAGAATAGCAAAAAATTTTGAGTCACTCAAAGGGCTTGGTCCCACTGAAGTCAAACAAGGTAATTCTCTGCATTCTACTTTTAGCTGTCATGCTGCAAGTGTTCTTCCTGTGGTCAATTTAGTGACACGTTTATCACATTTCTGTACTCTTTGATGTAACTTTACTGTTTAAAATGGCTTCAAATAGCTGGATGTGAGTGCAAGCCTATAATCCCAGCACTCAGGAGATTGAGGTAGGAGAGTCTTCAGTGTGAGGCCAGCGTGGGCTACATTTTAAGACTGTTTCAAAAAAATAAATAAAAACAAAAATAAAAAATAAAATGATAAAATGGGCCCCAAATGTAGTGCCAATGTGCTGTCTAGTTTTTCCAGACACAAAATGTGCCTTATGAAGAAAATATATGCATTAGATAAGCTTCATTCAGGCATGAATTATAGTGCTGTTCGCCATGAATTCAATGTTAATGAGTCAACAAGAAGTTAAATAAGGTGTCTTTATACAGAAGAATACACAAAGCAAGGTTATGCACTGATGGCTTAATGAATATATTGTAACCAAAACTCTTGCAGAAAACGAATTCTGTACTGGAGCAATGGTTTGGTATTCACTAGTGTGACTTTATAGAATGTAACTACAGAAAATAATGGGCCTCTTGGACTGGTGGTATGGCTCAAGGGGTAGAGCACCTGCTTTACAAGTGCAAAGCCCTGAATTCAGACTCTAGTCCCGCCAAAAATAAAAAATAAATAATAATAATGGGCATCAACTATACTTGGCTATCATGAGGTACCAAGCCCATACCAATAATGCTCCAGTGAAAAATATGCCAAACAATTAATATGCAGATTTCAAGAATCAAGTTACTTCTGCTTAACTAGTTAGCTTTCTATCTCAAACACCCCTTATATTTACTTGACCAGCATTTATTGGGTACTTGCTATGTTTTAGGCATTCTAACAATTGTTTTCTAAAGGACAAAAAAGTGATAAAGGAGGCCAAAAAAAGCATAATGGGAAATAAGAGTAGGGACTAATTTTTTTTGGAAAATAGGGAAGGATTTCAAAGAAGGATAGTTAGGTTATACTGATGACAGCTTCTAGAATAAGAGCCTGAGGGAACAACAAATGTAAAGAGTGAAAAACACCTTGCTGGGCTTGAAATGGTGGTAGTCTGTAACTAGATTAGAAAAAAACATATGCAAAGCTGAAGGAGTTTATATTTTCCTAATCTTTTAATGCAGTAGAGTTTTGGATTATAAACACACATACTGATGAACAAAGCACCACTAGAAACAGTCAGTATATTTATATATACATATATATAGTAACTGTTAAGCAAAGTTAAAATATTTGGTTAAATTTTAAAAACAGAATTAGGATTCTGAGTTTTATTAACTATTATTTCTAACAGGATATTAAATCTGTTACTTTAATTTTCTGCAAGATTATCTCAATAAGAAAAAAAAATATCAACAATAAATGGAAAAACTCAGTAGAATGGTACAGTTACCTTAGATTCACACAATTACCGAGCTCTGGTGGAATTTGGAGGAGGTCATTATTTTGAAGATCCAATGTGGTCAGATTTTCCATCATCTTCATTTTCTGAGGGTCCACAGATCCAACCTGATTGTTACTAATCAGAATTGCTTCAAGTGTGGAGATACGATACAGAACTTCAGGTAGTATTTTGAACCTATTTATATAAACAGTACACCTAAATATACTGAAACCAGAGGTCAAAATTGTTCCTTAAAATAAATGATTATAAGTTTTATGTCATGAAATAATGTTTTCTATACTGTATGCTCCTTTATATTTGCTATAAGTTCTATATTCAACCTTTCCAGAAAATACCCTAATTTTGGAAACTTTGCAATATATGTTCAGGCAACAGACCTGTAAATTACTGATTATAAAAAAAATATATCAAAAATTCAGAATTCTCCCATGTTTTACTGCTCACATTCAGGAGATAAGGAAATCCTCCTGAGAGTTTCTATATAATATATTCATGCAGGCATCATTTTTACTTTGTATGAATCACTCAATATATTAACTAAAATTTGACATTTATACTTTGCTTTGACTGAGGCTTCCAAACAAAGATACTTTGGGTTCTTAAAATGATGACAACTAGCAAAGATGCTGGCTTCCTTGTCCTAAGCAACCCTAAAGATGCCTCAAGAGAGACAGAAAGGCTGAAAGCTCTCAGCAATACTTGCAATGAACACAAAATCATGAAGGCCCCCTTGGGAGACAGAAACTGACACAGGTTTCATGAGGAGAACTGCAACCTGGACTAGAAAAGATAAGAATGGGCTGAGGGAGAGCTACATAGCTATGGTCTTTTAACTTCCCCATACTGTCCTTCCTTTCCAGCTCTTATGTTAAAAAAAAAAAAAAAAAAGCAATAGTGAAATTAAAAGGGAAATGCAAGACAGGTCTGAAGTTCCAATGGCACAAGAAAGCCAATAACTGAGAATAAAGATGGAACAACTGACCTATACTTGCTATTAATATTGTTATAAAATTACTACCAGAATCAATTTTCATCATAGGAAACAAAATGATACACTTATTAAGAGTTCAATTTTGGAATTAAACGAACACCAGCTCTGTGAAGCAAATACCAGCTCTCTAACTTATTACTTATATACACCCAAGTTATTTAAATCCTCAGTTTTTAAATAAACATAGTAACAGAATCTACCATGTAGGATTTTTGTAAGGATGAGATGATACATGTAAAGTACTTAGTACAGCCCCAGCAAATAATTAGCTCCCAATAAATAGTAGCTTTTCTTAATTATTTGCAGTATCTTGATAGTGTTTACAGAAAAAATAGAAGTTTCTAAGTTTCACTTAGCATAAGAAGCTCTCAGAAGGCTAGCTACTGCTCACAGGTCTGACCTCATCGTCCCTTCTGCACCTTTACTCCTCAACTTATTGACAAGGTGCACTGAACTTCTTGAAGCTTCTCGAGCATCCATACGTTCTTACATGACTGTACCCTACCTCAGGCTCCTAGTTCTAACTGGTAGGCCTCTTCTGTGTGCAACAGTATAGCAAATGTCTATTTTTCAAGCCTCAGTTCAAAGCTATCATTTCTACCTTCAGGTAATCTCAGGTGTCTTTTCCTATGTGTTGTGCTTCCGTTACAGCAATTACAATAATTTCCTTGTATATTTGTTTTCCTACAAGGCTGCAGATTTTCTCAAAATGATAAAAGGGAACAAAGAATGTGTTAGACACCAATTGTGAGCATTCTAAGCAAGCCATATCACTTTCAGGTAGAACTAAATGAAAACAAAATCTGGATACTGAAGCAAAAAAAAAAAAAAAAAGGTTTGTTTATTTGGCTTTTTAAGGTTTTCTCTAGTAAGAAAGACCTACAGATTTTCTAAAAAATGACTCAGAATTATATGCTCTGCTTCTTACCTATTAAAGGACAGATTGATTGTTTGTAGTCTTGACAATGACTCCATTTCTTCAGGCAAAGAATTTAAAAAATTGTTCCTAAATTGCAAATCAAAATAAATAATTTATAAAGTTTGAAAACTTTTACAAGTTTAATTTGTAATAAAAATTTTTAGGAAACATATGAATAGATCAGTTTGTCAATCCTTAAACTGATCTCATTAAGTTGAGTTCTGAGAATTCTGAATCAGTCAGTAGTCTCTACTAATACCAATATGTAATCAATTCAAAGTATAGTCAGCTCTTTAGGAATAGATGTAATGGGGTAAACACTGTAAATTAATCCCTTAACTCCTTCCAGTTGAGTTTAGCAATACTTCCCATAGTCTGAACACTTCAGATCATAATTGTAATACATATACATATATGTTGCATAAATAAATATAATACATATACGTTGCATATAGATATGAAATTTTATTCCTAAAATAATTGAAAAATCATAGGAAAAAATGAAACAGGAAATTAAAAAGATTCTCTGTGTTTAGAAACTTGGATTTTTCTACTCAATGGGTATTTCACAGGTGCATTTTATCTAAGTTTACAATTTAGATTTGCACACTGTGTGGTTTTTTTGATCTTATGATGGACCATAAACAGAATCTTATTTACTGATGGAAGGATTTAGAAGCAATGTTAGAAGAAAGGTTAACAAGAAAGCAGAAGGATGCTAAAGGCACTATAACTACTAGCAAAAGAAAATATTTGTGAGAAAAGTATTACCAACTTGATGACTATCTATAACACTGAATGATCTTCTCTAACCTATTTTGGGGGTTCATAAATCAAGTCTAATATGTAAGTGTCACACTTTCTATAGTAGAACCTACATCCTTTCTTCTTTTCTCTGTACTTTTCTCCAATTATTGCCTGCATTAACCTGTGCTAAATAACCCACTGCTGATTATTATTCTCTTCCTAGAGAACCTGATACTTATTGCTATCAGACACAAAAAGTAAACCTTGTTTACTTTATTAGAAACTTCCAAGCATCTTTATAGACAGGGATCTATAGACTGGGACAACAGGAAACAAAGGTAGCAGCAACTGGGACATGGATTCATTCCCTATGCTCTGTTAATACTAAACTAAATGTGATCTTAGCATTTTGCCAATACAAGTGCCACCCAAACTAGAAGTAATTCCACATTTAGTGGAAGTAGGTAGGTAGTAGATTTTCTTCAATCCTGTAAGTTAAAGGAAAAAAAAAAAAAAGGCCTATAAAGGAAGAACAAATCCTCCAAGAGGTATAATTTATTATGGTAGTACACACCTGTAATCACACCACTTGGAAGACTAAAGCAGGATTGAGAGTCCAAGGCTAGCCTGGCATACATAGTGAGATTCTGTTTCAAAAAACCAAAAGAAAGCAAAAAACAGAGAAAGGGGATGGTTGGCAATTATTTGACCACTGTTTCAGCAAAGAGGAGATATACTTTTGTTTTTTTGGAGACAGATTCTCACTACAAAGCCTAGGCTGACTTCATACTCACAAGCCTAATTCCTCAGCCTCAGAGTGCTGGGATTCCAGGTGTATATACCACACCCAGCTAAGTAGAGCTATACTTTAAACTATAAATGCTCCTAGTAACAATATAAAAGCATGGGGGAAGTCCAAAAAGTTTAGAAATAAAAATTTAAAATCCAAGCAAATAAATGACTCATCTAACCCTGTTACCCTTAAAGAACTGTTACACTTGTGACCTCATCACTTCAAATTTAAATCAAACTTCCTGTTACATCTGAATAGCTTAATACAACTTCTTTTCTTTCTATTGCCATAGTGTTTTTACTTTACTTCTGGCCTTGTATTTTAATATACAAGCAGGTATTTTAATATAAAAGCAGGTTCCTTAAAGAGAAGCCATACAAGCATCTGTAGCAGCATAGGGTTGTATAAATTTTATGTTATTTACTTTTGGGAAAGAAACAGTATGAAAGAAATATTTTCTCCATGTTACTCATGATTTTGCTCGAGCAAGAATCTAAGAATGTGCTAATATTTTAAATAATTTTATCATCACTTTATTTTTAAAGTACTTATAAGTGACAGACTGATTAAAATACTTCCTAAATACTTAATTTTAGATTTCCCCTAAAATGACATAAAAGGCAAGTAAGGCAAAACTCAAATTACAATTTTTTTTAAAAAAGCAACAGTACCAATAAATACCTTAGATCTAAAAAGGTCAGTTTTTGAAGCATACATAACTCCAAGGAAATAAAGGAAAGCTTATTAAAACTGAGGTTCACATCAGAAACCATTTCCTTCAGTTCTATAATCCTGAAACAAAAATAATTTTTAAAATGTTAGCCCTGAATTCACTGTAGAACTTCAAACCTGTAAGCAGATCATGACAATAAAAACCCTGTGTTATTTCTGCTCATAATCATTTTCTGTATCTTTTACTTTTTCACAAAAATTTCAAGGATTTTGGATATACAAATAATAAAAATAAGAATCTTAAAATACCCTTACTATTATCTGTCCAAGAATTCCTATTTGACCTATATGTTGGGGTTTAATTTTAAATCCCACCTATTCTGTATTTAAGCCAATTATGACACAGAAGAGAATAACCCAACTTAGGCAAATTTTATACTTTATTCTGATGTCTTAAATCCATGAAATAAATTATTAGACATATCTGTAACCTAGCAGTTTTCTCTTTAGATTTCATAATATAATACTATCTGCATCTGTGTACTTAAAAATATTTCCAAAATACGATATTTCACCTTTTTCACAGTATTTGTTATCCAAATTATCATTACATTTAATCATGATTACAAGAAAACATGAAGTCAATTCCTAGGTTCAACAATGTCACTTCTGAACAGCTTAGGTTGAAGACTTAAAGAGGAAAAATTAAATACTTCTAAGTAAGCCAAGTCAAGCTTAGACATTTTAATTATGCTATTAGTATGATCTGCCAAGAAACAAAAGTTAAACTATCACATTAGCAAAAGAAAAAGATTGAAAGAATATGAAATGCTGTGCTAACGAAGATGCAGTAAAAGAGAAAATGAGTTCCAAAGTTTAAGTGATCAAACTTGTTTTGTAAAGTAACCAGATATATGCATCAAGAGTCACACTCTTGGACTGGAGTGTAGCTCAAGTGGTAGAGTGCCTGCTCTGCAAGAAGCCCTAGTTCAAACCCCAGTCCCACCACCCGGCCCTCAAAAAAAGAGTGAGAGTCACACTCGTGGACATAAGGGCAATGTGTCACTCCATTGATAAGAATACAACTGAGAGTTGAGTCACATTTTAATGGAAATTGCATTATAAATAGTTCTTACCTTTTTGGTATTTCACATAGATGATTCTTACTGAAATTAACAGAAGTGATTATGTTGCTTTTCACTGCATCAAACACTTCATCAGGAATCAAAGTCGTTTGCTTATCACTAAATGAAAAATTATTTTAAAAATTTTAGAAATTCATTCTGAATTATTATTATTTCTTTTTAAAGGCCTTTAACAATTATAAAAATTTCAAGATAGTTTATTATGAAGTTTAATAAAAAAATGCCACATAAATTTACCAACTCACAAAGTATTCAGTTAAGAATACAGACATACTATGCCACATTTTCTGCACACTTACATACTCAGTGTGAATAAAAAAATATACTCTGAAAGATTACATAGGGCTTTTACAAGGGGATAAAGAAGAAATTGAAAGGGGTAACTATTTTTGAGAATCAGAATTATTATAGTATTCTTTTTTGTCATGACCTCTTCCAAGGAGGGTCCTCATTTTCCAGTTCTGTCTTTGGTGAGACATAGGCTATTTTCAAGGCTACTCTTATATTTTATTTTAGGAAATAGTCATTTGGTGTTATTTTTCCTGTTACAATGTATTCATCTCTGTTTTACCCCTATTTGCAACCTGGAAACCACCAAAATACCTTGCTCATAGATTACTCCCAATAAATATACATTAACTTGGGGGAAAAAACATATACTTTCAGAGTCTAGAAAACCTATATTATATAGTAAATGGATAGGTCATTCCTCTAACCTCTGACTAGAATTAAATCTATAACTTCAAAAGTAATTGTTGCCCTTTTCTTAAAAATCTGTAAAAGTGACTATATATCAACTTTCTTTGGGTGCTGGTGGAGTGGCTCAAGTGGTAGAGTGCCTGCCTAGCAAGTGTGAAGCCCCATGTTCAAACCCCAGTATTACCAAAGAAAAAAAAAGAAAAAAGAAAAAAAGTACAACTTTTTTTGGGTACTGCCAAGATAAGAATCATTTTTAAAAGTTCAACATTATACTAAATTAGTTTTAGGTTGTCACCGAGACTAATTTCTCTTTTTAGAATGTAACGAGGTAGACAGAAATGGTGGCCTTGGAATGTGCTTTCTTGTACAACATCCAGTCATCACTGATATATAGTTAGTGAGTTGGTGGACTGAGACTAAACTATTCCTGGTACTACATTAATGGCTTTGTAATTTACCTTCCTTGGACCAGTACTTTAAAATTAAAATGTTAAGAGCCAGTTGCTATTATTTATGACATATCTTTCACAAATGTAAATATATACATTTTCTTTTTATGAAAAATTTCAGTAAAAGTTTCATAAAAATATAGAATCCTGTCATTTGCAATTTGTTGATGCTATAACTGGCCATTATTCTTATATTTTTGTTGTTGTTGCTTTACCATTATTAGGGGTTAACAGAGTCATTCACTTAAAAGTGAATGGAATACCAATGGAATACCAAATAAATGGATATATGAATAAGAAAACAAAATTACATATGATATATACTACGGGAGAGGCATCATAATACAGATAGGTAAAAAGATTACCTAAATTCCAATTATTATGCCTTTAACTTCTGCTGTACAGATGCAGTATTTTTATCTTTTCAATCAGAAATGCTCGTCATGAGAAAATGATTTATGCTAATCAAACTTAGAAGACTCATGCTATTTTTTAAAATTTAGTTGAAAGCATTTATGCTTTGAGTTTGGGAATCTACATTTTAAATAGGATACTCTGTTCAAATTAAAGTCTCTGAGAGAAACAAATTATAAGAATTCAAGTAACCTAAAATGTATCTTTTGTAGTATTTATGCCCTTAAAAAGTGGGAATGATTATCCCAAATAAAATTGAATCAGTACTACTTTACAGATTATCTGCATGATTAAAAGCAACAATGTATGTAAAGTACCTACTATAGTGTTTAGCATAGCATAAGGACACAATCAATGGCATCCTTCCAGGGCAGGGGAAATGAAAGACAGAGATAAAAGAAATTCAAAGCAAAAAAATTCTAAGACAAGAATGAAATCTGTCCCATCAATCACTGTATTTATTGTACCTAGCATAGAGTTTGTTACTTAGTAGACTCCAAAACTATCTACTAAATAAATAGATAGGTTATGTGGAAGATATGCTGTTACCATGCTCAGAGGAAAAGCATGTACAAAAGAATACTGACTATATTAGTGTGGCAAAAGAAACTTGGCTTATAGTTGCAATTTTTACTTAAAGAGTAGCTAGCAAGAGGGAGGAACACTGTGAGCAGGACACAACGAATATGAAATGGAGACTGTATCCTGACTATTGAGAAGGTTTCTACGGATACATTAAGGACAAGAGGTCAGACACTGATGTTGGCTGTATAGATTCTTGAATAAATCTAGTTATCTACTTGACTAGAACCTGTATTCTTCTATATTTTCATTATACCTTTAATGCTCTTTTATTTCATGTTTTTTTCAATTGCTGTTACTGTAAGTCTAGACACTTATTAATTATTCCTCATCAATTGTCCTTTCTCCAAATGATTCTTTCTCAGAAGTTACCTATGTGTTTTGCAATGTTCAATAAAATGAATTGCATACCTATGGTCTAATATTTTCAGTGTGGTGATGGCATGTACATTGACTCTGGATGCACTTGGTAGTGTCATAGCAGTCTCAGTAACAGAGTCACTCTGGTTAAGTCCATCATCTGGCAAAAGAAAAGTTCAAAGTTTATACTATAAAGTCATTTTTAAATTCTTAATGATATGTAAAAAGAGTATCCATGATTTATAAATATTGTTGGCAAGAATACCTTTATTCCCACAACTCAAATCTCAATCATGAACATATTTAATAGAAAACAGATAAAATGTTCTATAGCATGGTTTTAAACTCCCTTAATAAATCCTACTGAAAGAAAATTCAGTCATAAGAATCTTCATAAAATAACAACAGTGTCTAAGAAACAATGCTAAGCAATCCTTCTTAAGCAAAATATGGTCCATTAAAAGGAACTGATTAACAAGTAAAAAATTCTGTTTTCCTCAAATGTCTACCAATATGTTTTTCATTTAGGATACAATGAAGCTAATTAACACAAAGCACTTAAAAATCTAGCAAGAAGTAAAATAAAGCTATTAATTTTCAACAATGAAAAAGATGGAACAATTCCAGAACTCATACATAAAAGCAAAAGACAAACTGGGTGCTGAGCTCACATCTGTAACCCTAGCTACTTGATAGGTTCCAGGCTGGGTTAGGCAAAAAAGTCTTCATGAAACCCCATCTCAACAGAAAAATGCTGGGTATGGTGGTGTGTGCCTGTCATCCCACCTACAGCAAGAAGCATAAAATAGGAGAATTGAGGTCCAGGCTGGCCCGGGAAAAAATAAGACCCTGTTTACAAAACAGCCAGAGCACAGTTCTTGCTCTGGGTGGAAGCCAGGCTCAAGGAGTACTTGTAAATGCAAATCCCGAGTTCAAAATACTCAGTACCACCAAAAAAATTAAAAGAGCAGAAGACATTTGTTGACTATCACATAAGTGTATTTTCTTTGCATTGATTTAATCAGTTATTCATTAATCAGTAATGATTCAAATACGTAAAAAATTATTATGGGTCAATTATAAAGTAAATATCCCTCTGAAAAAAATAATTAAACCCTGCCTAACAAGCTTAAGGCTCTGAGTTTAACCCCCAGTAACACCAAAGAAATATAAATAATTAAACCATTTCCCATGCAATACAACATTAATACTTTATTTATAAAAGTAGCAAAGAACAAACAACAATAGCAAATAATAGAACAATCACAAAGCTAAGAGAAATCTTTCTTTTGGGGAGAGGGTAATGATACTAGGGTTTGAACTCAGGGCCTGCAACACAAAATAAGCAGTCTACCACTTGAGCCATGCCTCCTGCCCCTTTTGCTTTAGCTTATTTTTCAGATAGGGTCTTGTTTTTGCCCAGGGTGGCCTTGGACAATGATCTACTTACCTCCACCTCCTGCACAGCTGGGATTACAAACATGCATGACCATATGCAGCTTGTTTTTAGAGATACTGGTTTTTTTTTTTTGGCCATGCTGGCCTTGAACCATGATGTTCCTACCTTTGCCTCCTGGGAAGCTAAGAGTACAAGGGTGTGCCATGCAATGAGAGACAACATTTTAAGAAATTCTCAAATTCATTCACTTCATCAGTAAGGACGACTTGGTGGCTAGACAGATGAATGTGTGACAACCAATCAGGAAATCTTCAGAGCTTCAATTTTCCCATTTGAAGCAAATGGAAACTGATTACTGTGCCTTGTCAATAGTTTTGGAATGGATCAGAAAATCTGATGAGTCTACTATCTCTCAAAAACAAAAACAAAGGGTTGTAGTCTTTGGTTTTCTCATTCCTTCATTCTGTATCATCCAACACCACCTACCTGGTAGGTTCTAATATGGTAAGGCATGAAAACAGAAGATGAACTGTCTAGTGAACAATATGAACAGAAAAGTCACAAAATGGTATGGTAAGTACAGTGACAGAAGTATATTGCAAGTACATTTTTTTTTTCTGGTACTGGAGTTTGAACCCAGGGCCTTCACCTTAAGCCACTCCACCAGCTCTTTTTTGTGAAGGGTTTTTTTGAGATAGGGTCTCAAGAACTATTTACCCAGCTGGCTTCGAACTATGATCCTCCTGATCTTTGCCTCCTGAGTAGCTAGGATTACAGGCGTGAACCACCAATGCCTGGTGCAAGTGCATTTTCATGGGAGCAATGTATTGTGGAAGAGTGCTAGGTAAAGGTTCTAAAAGAGTATACATTTCAGAAGGAAGTCAGAAACTATAGGTTCTTCCAGACTACACCTATTTGTTTCAACTGGGTAAACACTGTTGTATATATTACATATACTTATGCATTAAAAAGTAGAGTGATTTGGAGTCACTGGTACTTTCCCTTAACTTGTGGGAAACCTAGGGCTTTGATATGTCAGTGCCGTATGCCTGTTATCTTACCTATGAAAAGATTCAAGGTTTTATTCCAAGAGTAAAACCTAAGTTAATATATATGTATGATATATAAAAAACCGTGATGCTAACTGTTGTTGGTTCTTTGTTAAATCTATTTGTGTTCTCCAAGTATGTAAGCCTTCTAAAATGCAATGTTTGGGAAAAGTGCTATACCAAACTAGTGTCCTCCAAATTAAAACTGTTAATGATGGTAGTAGCCTTTTAAGATCTGTGTGTATGTATTCCTAAGTTGTACCTTAATGGTGCTGATGTAAATGCTGTCAATCATAGTTATTATCCTAAAATGCTATATACAATGAAAATAACTAAACTGTTATCAATTGTTAAACATTTAAAAATTCTAGCAATGACAGTTACAAGTGTTATTGTCACCTACAATTTGTATCTTTCTCTATGGCATTTACAATCAAACTCACTAGAAACATCTCTAGCAAGTAGAAAAAAAAAAACTATAGGTTCTTGTCAATAGTAGAGTTTAAAAGAATTTTCATCTTTTTAACAACTCCATTTCACACTTTAGAATGTTTAATATCTGATTTTACTATCCAGTATTAAAATGAAAGAAACTAAATAAACACTTATTGTCTGAGACAGGAAGGGATGGGTTGGAAGGGAGGAATGAACGTTAGGGAAACTACTAATTGTTCTGGCCAAGCTTATACAGACTACAATCTCTATAGACCAAATGGGTGGCTATAGCAGAAAAGGAAAGAAGGCCAAGTTCTAGGATAACAAATGGAACTAGATTGGCTCCTAAGAAGGTACCTGAGAGGGGCTTAAGAGTGAAATGATCCAAAGTGTGAGTCCCAGCATTGCAATATCAGCCTCACCTGGAGACACTTGATAGAAATACAAATTTTTAGCTAGGCCTGGTGTCACATGCTTGCGTGCATTCACAGCACTGAGAGGCTGAAGTAGAAGGATCATGAGTTCAAGATCAGCTTGCGCCATATAGCAAGACACACCACCTCAAAAAGAAAAAGAAAAGAAAGGAGGAAAAAAAGAAGAAATGCAAATTCTTAGGCTCGATCTAAACCTACTATAAACTTGTGTGAGTGAGGTCTAGCAATCTGCTTTATGAGCCTTCCAGATGACTCATAGCCTCCAAAAGGCCACTACCCTCAATAATGTTGAACTGAGAATTAAGTTTCAACATGAACTTCAAGGAGGACACCATGATTCAATCATAACAGCACCCCACGGGTACTTTAGCAACCTGACGGAACCTCATTCTGGGCAGACATAATATCATAGCTACAAATGAAACACATGTCTCAACCATAATCTGGGGAAGATACACAAAGGTCTTACAAGGTTCGTTGCTTAAAGTAGATCCTTTGAGCTTATCACAAAGTGTAAATCATAAGGTTTGCATGTCAGATGCTAAAGTATTAAAAAACCTCAAACCTAGTCCCTAAAAAATTATTTCATAAAGAATTAAAAATTTAAGTTACACTCCACCAATATTTACCTAGGCTAATTGATTTCTACCTAGGGAACAATGAAGCAAGTAGATATCAGCATTATTTGAAAACCTGTAATAACCCAAAAGAATGCCTAATACCATCATGATGAGCCAAAGGCTTTGTAGGGTAACTTCACACATGCCACCTCATGAAATTCTGATCCTCAAAAATAAAACATTAAAGAAGGCATATTACACTCATGCTACAAGTAGAGATGTGTGGGTTCAATTAACGATACATCAATTAAAATCTAAAATAATAATAATGATCATTTGTGGAGAATAACTTAAGTATTCTGTTTTGTTTTGGAGACAGGGTCTCAGCTCAGGCTGGATTAGAATTCACAACAGCCCAGGCTGGCTCAAATTCTAAATTTTCTAACTTCTGCTTTCAAAATACATGACACACCCAAGTAAGATTTATTTTTAAAAGGATAATTATGATTTCCGAGTTATATTTGTAGGTCAACAGAGACTTGAAATTAACACACCCTTGTGTTGGATAAATAGCCATCATTATAGAAAGTTTACATAAATTACACATGAAATTATTGTATTTCTGCCAGACACTAGGGAAAATATTAATTACCACCAAAATTTAATGAGCTTTTAAAGAGAGGAAAATTTCTCTTTCATATAATGGAATCTAAGGAATCTGTGGAACTTGTTTCTATATTTGAAGCATCAGACAAGTATCTTTGAGTGACTTTCAAAATTCTAAGATTACTTTTAAATGGCACATGATTTTATGCTTCTGTATTATTCAGCATCTCAAAGAAAACAGTTTCTACTATCAAGTTACCTCATTTCAGTTCAAAGTTTTTCTTCATTTTACCAAAATCAAATGATTAATGATGCCTTCTATCCTCACCAACTGAATTTCTATCTTTTTCTTCCCCCTTATCTTGTGTGGAGGCATATTGTGGCATTTACAAAGGTTCTTACAATATAGCAAAGATGTAACACTTGAATTCACCCATATGATCAAGCAATGCCACTCATAGGGATATACTCAAAGGAATGTGAATCAACTTAAAACACAGGCACCTGCACACCCGTGTTTACTGCAGGATTATTCGGGATGCCTCAATACTGATGAATGGATTAAGAAAATGCAATCTCATCCACAAAGAATGAAATTTTGACACTCACAGGTAACTGGATGGAACTGGAGAACATCATCTTAAGTGAAGTTAGCCAGGCTCAGAAGGCCAAAAGCT